ATTAGGAAGAATCTGTTAGTTTCCTTTTATCTTTAGGAAAGGGTATTTAGTGTTCAATAAGGATTTTATGTTTTACTTTTATCTTTAGGAAAGTTTCTTTCTTGTCCGAGAAGGACTACTATCTACCCATGGGTATAAATATGTACACCCGGAGTCATTGTAAACTATCTCACGAATAAATACAACTACTCTCGGTGATCGCCACCCTCTTTACCGAGGTTTTTACTTATCATCCGGCGAAACTTAGCACCTGATGCGGGGTTGCATCGGCTTTTGATATCCGCGAAGGGTAAGTCCTACGTTCCGCCGGCCCTGGCAATTGTATTGGCTTCATCGGCGTCGTTCAAGGCTGCATCAGCACATCCGACCTCTTGGATTGCTATGGTTCGGTTGATATATTTGCCTACCTATTTATCATATATCTTAGTTAATCTAGTCTTAATATTTCAATTTAGCCGTATCGGCCGATTCTCGCTTTAGGGTTTATGCCGGTATCGGCTAAATCGCTTTACCAGATTATATTAGCTAAGGTATCTACCACCCTGAAAATCAGCCAAAGGCTTTATTGTCTAGATATTATGTTTCTTTTCATACTTAGTGCTGCATCAGTTAAGTTTGATCACTTCGCGCTTAGAACCGTAATCTTTAGCCTACTTCTTGATTGCCAATAAGGGTTTCATCGGGGTTTCAGCCGATGAGTTATCTAGACATTACATCGGCTTACAAGGATTGCATACAAGTTAGATTTAGCCGATTGCAACAAAGGTTTCAGTGTTTATCTAATCTTGTGGATTTTATGACATCGGATATTCAGCCGATGTATGTTTTAACTTACGGATCAGTGCTTATTCTATCATATCATTGTTAGCCGATTGGTTTCTACTGGATATTATTATCGTTTTATTACATTACCATTATCCGATTGTCTTTATATTGTTATCTACATTGGACATATAGTTGATTGCTCAAAACCCTATTGACATCGGGGAGTATCGACATCGGCTGGAATTACTCCATCGGCTTGTCTACCGATCGGCTCAATGATCTGTTATTTGTATATCTTGTCAGTTGTAGGATCAAACTGACTGGCATGCTCGCATCTCAACAACTTTTGGACCTGCACTAGAGCTAAACAGATCTCCCAGGCCGTTGTGTTCGTCGACTTAGTTCGCGCCAACACAGACCTAGCACCATCAGCCGAGCGCGGACTTTTCATCAACAACTCCATTCACAGCTCACTGGAGGAACAGGTTGCCATGTTCCTTCTAGTTGTTGACCACAATGTTAGATTTAAGGCTTTACAACCCATTTTTAGAAGGTCAACTGAGACAGTTAGTAAGTACTTCGGAGAGGTATTGTATGCTGTTGGTGAGCTGAGAAATGATTTGGTCAAACCACCTTCAAGTGATATTCCTCGAACAATTCTTGGCAATAGAAGATTCAACCCATATTATAAGGTAAAACAAATATTATCCACAAGTTACGTTTTTTTCCCACAACCTATCCTAACATTTTTCATGCCAATTGGGATTGTATTGGTGCAATAAATGGAACCCATCTTCTATGTCAGCAGCGTTTAGGGGTAGAAAGTGTGTTACTACCCATAATGTAATGGCTGCGGTGGATTTTGATCTTAAATTTACATATGTACTTGTTGGCTGGGAAGGGTCTGCACATGATGCCCTCATACTTGCATATGCCTTAGAGAGATGATGGCCTTAGTGTCAATAATTTAGAGTGTCAATAATTTAGATCTTCAGGATTTTTTTTTTGTCATCTGGTAATGATTGAGCACATTTTATCACATGTTAGGCCTCACTACTGGGAACCCATTTTTACTACTGGTTCGGCAACCCCTTTTAGTCTCGGTTGTACAACCAGGACGCACAATCCGGAACTAAAGATGGTAATTTTAGGCCCGGTTATTTCAGTCAGGATTAAAAATCGATCTATACCAACCGATACTAAAGATGGTAGCGACTAGTGGCTAGTGCTACCATTTTTAGTACTGGTTGGATCTATTTGCTTTTTTTTAATGTTTTTTTTGTTGCTTGCTGCTTTTTTATACATATGCATATATGGTGCTTGCTGCCCATATGGTGCTTGCCTTCAGGCTTAGCCAATGGCTCTGTTTACAAACGTGGCCCTTCTGCTCACATGGCAATTAGCAAGGCACAACTAATTTGCTTGGATAGAGTAGAAAACTCTTAGGGCATGTATAACGGTCTTTATTAGTGGTCTCTCTCTATTGATGCAAGTAAATTTAATGACATGGAAGAAAGAGAAAGGAGTATGGTTGTTATGCATGACAACGGCTCAGAGTCGACTCTTAGAATTTATTAGAGCAAATTTCGTTGTATGGTGGTGAAAGAAAGGAAAGAAGAGCAAGAAAAAGTATTTTAATACATTAATGATTAGAGACCATATTGTCTCTAACTGTTATAGGATGCTAGTCTCTAAATAACGTAGAGCTCGTAACTAACTCTACCTTTGTGCATGACCTTATGTCACAACTGTTTCATGTATTATGTGTTCCCTTGTGTACCTTCTGTTTACCATTATTTATGGTACTTCCGAGCGCAGATTTTTCGATATCCTGTGACAGTTTAAATGCTGCCTGTAAGTGAATATGATATGTCATCGTCCTTAGCCGCGAAAGTAAGAATCTGTAGTTCTTGTTTGAGAAGTTTGGTAGCCTAAGTTTTAGTCCCTGGCAGTTTAAGGAGTCCCCCGCGTCGCCCCCCGCGTCGGGCGACTCGGGCGGCGCAACCCTTGCCGCCGCCGCCGCCCTTCCCCGCCCCTTCCTCTGCCTTGCCGCCGCCTGAGCGAGCGGCCAGCAAAGCCGGCGGCTCCCAAGGACGGCGGCGGCGGGGCTCACGGCGGCCATCTCCCGAGCTCCTGGCGCGGGCGGACGCAGAGGCGGTGGCCGACCGGAGCGGCGCCGGCGTCGAGGTGCATGGTGGCAGATCCAGCGTCGCCACCACTAGATCTGGCGCACCCGCAGCTAGATCCGGTCGCGGAGGCGCCGGCACGGCGTCGGCGAGGCGTGGGCGCAGGCGGCCACGACAGGCGGTGGCAGGCGTGCCGGCGGCGCAAAAGGCGCGGGCGGTCGGGCGGCAGCGTCAGGCGCGGACAGCCGCGTTAGGCGGCGGCAGGCGCGACGGCGGCGCAGGCGCGGGCGGCCGCAGCAGGCTCGGAGGCGCGGCTGCTTTGGCCGGCGGCTCGATGCCTGGCGGCGACGGCAGTGGTGCCCCCAGATCCGTGCCTCTCGGCCGGATCTGGAGGGTGGGAGCAGTCGGCGACGATAGCGACGGTGTGGCGACGGCGGCGGCGGCAGTTGGCGACGGCGGTCTCGGCCGGATCTGGACGCCGGCGGTAGTTGGCGATGACGGCGGCGGTGTGGTGATGACGGTGGCGGCGGCAGTGGGCCGGTGACAGTTGGCGACGGTGGTGGCGGTCGCGGCTGTGGTGGCTGCCGTGTCATCTGGCGATGGCGGCGGAAGACATGGCGTCGGGCTGCTAGCTGCTCGGTGGTGGAGGGTGACAGCACAGCGGCGATTTGCGGAGGCGGTGGTTGGCGTCGGTGGCAGCGGCGACGGCGGCTGTGACTCTGGAGGCGGTGGCGACGTCGGCGGTGGGGAAGGAGTCAGGGGCGAGGTGGCTGGGTGTTCGGCAACCAAGGCTGTGGTGGTGGTGACCGTGTATACGGTCACCGGAGGCATGGCGGTCTCGGTTGACTAGCCAAGGGCGTGGGAGACGGCTGCAGCTGGCCGGCGCGGCATCGTTCGGTGGAGGGGTCGGAAACCGGCTTGGCACAAAGAAGCGCAGCCGATGGCAGCAGAGGCCGGCTCGGCGCGAGATGCGCGAGCGGCGGAAATGGAGGCCGGCTTGGCGCGAGAGGCGCGGCCGATGGAGGGAGGCTGGATTGACACGAGAGGCGCGGCCGGTGGAGAAGGCCGGCTTGGCGCAGAGAGGCGGGGCCGGCGGTGGAGGAGGCGACCTAGGTGTGAGGAGGAGCTGCCGGTGGGTGTGGCGCGGTCTTTGGCGCAAGAAGGCTGGCCGGCGGGGGACGCCGGTGAAGGGGTCCCACATGTCAGCAAAGCTTGTGGAGTGGTGGAGCATCGGTGCGCCAGCCGTGCCTTTGTTGGTCTAGTGGCGGTCGGCCACGCTTAGCGGCGGCCGATCCGGTACTAGCCTTCTCCTGGGCTTGTGTATTGGCGATATCGTCGTGTGGGTGGTGGTATTTTTTTTCTTTTCCTGGTTACGATTCTCCAGGGTTGTAATCTTTTATTTTTTTTCCTGCTCTGTTAATAGAACTTCGTACCGTCTCGTGCGAGTCGTTCAAAAAAAAAAGTCCCTGGCAGTTTGATGTCTGGTCCAGAGATGTTCATCCATTGCAGCTTCGTGCACTGCACGAAACATGAAATTGATCGATGCATGTATATAAGAGTGGGAAAAAAGGTTGTTTGGAATCTTCCATTCCTTATTTCTCGCTTCGCTTCTCTACTCCTACGTGAATCTAAAAACCAATTTATTTTGGAATTGGACGGACTAGATGTGTGTGTAAAAAATCGTTAACTTACCATTTCTTAGGTGTTCATTTTTGTCTAAAATTACAAATGCAAATACGTTTGGTCCCTGTTTGACTTATATTTGACCCGTTGACTACTCGGCCTATGTATTTTCTTTTCTCATTTTAATTGTAATAACAAAGAGCAAAACATTTTTTCTTACTATTTAAATTCGTCCAAAAAAGCCTATTTCCAGAAAAAGCTTTCCATCAATAGTAGAAGCCCCCTAAAACTTGAAGGAGAAGGTGGAAAATAAAAGATGAAACTAACATGTTGTGGGAGCAAGAGACGATCGCAGCCGTCCATCCGGGAACCGCGCCGATCTCCAGCCGTCGATCGGGCTCCACGACCGTTTCCCCCCACGCCGCCCGGGCCCACCACCCCCGTCCTCCTTCCGTTCCCCGTTTCCTCCCTTTCTCTCCCGGTCTCCCCTCACCTCTTTATTACGCTCTCTCCTCCTCCCCGACGACGAGGCAACCCAGCGCGAGGCGAGCCGCGGCGACTAGGGTTTCGTCGCGCCTTCCTCCTCCTTCTCCTCCTCCCCCACCGCCGCCGGCGACGACAAGGTATGCCCGCAAGCGCGCCTCTCTCTCTCTGTCCCACTTAGGATCCCCCGCGGGTGTCTCCTGCTACGTGGCGGTGTTGGATGGCCGGGTGGTGTCCCCGATGCTCTGGATTTCGTGCGAATCCTAGCTAGTAATATTAGAGGTTTTTTTTTTTGTTATTGTTGGTGATGATGCTCATATGCTGTAGAGGGGGGTTGGGGTGTGCTCCATGCTTCGCGGATTGCTGGCTCTGGATGCTTCCTTTTTTTTTCGTGTGTAATGCATCGTTTGCTTAGTTGATCGAGTTGTGGTGTGCCCTGTCGCCAGACATTGCCCTAATTTCTCAGCCCGGCTGTATGATAAATCTGAAATGAAGGTGTCTAATATGTAGGGGTGTCACCAGGAAGTGAACTCCTCGTTTTGTTCAAGTTGCATTATATATTTTGGAACCTTATGGTAGCTCTATTTTTGTGCTGGAGTGCGGATGTGGAATACACGTGTGCCCTGTTATAAACTATTCTATTATGATGATTAGGCTGTTATTGGTTGAAGTTGGGTGATAGATTTGGAACTCAACGCGATAGGTTGTTATAAACTATTCTATTATGGTTCCAGCTACAGTTTGCAGTTGTTCCCTAATTGTTGACCCTTTTTTTTTCATCTGAATTATAGATTGCACTGTTCTGGAACTAAAATTGATGTGGACTGTGGGGTCATCTTTACTAAGTGCTAATCATACTAAAATGTTTTATAATCCCAATTCCAAGATTTAGTTTTCTGGATGGCAACTTTTTTTTGATCAAGCAGTATGAGATCAGTTTTTGGTTGTTGCAATACTTTGTCTAGGACCTGATACACTTGAGACATAGTACTGTGGCAAACTTTTATATGGTGGTCTGTGACTTTGTGTGCTGTAACTTATACAGAAAACCAACTATTATGTGACAGAAGAAAAGGACAAGGAGATATCTCAGCTAGTTATTTCTCATTAGTTGATAATATTTTTGTACTGCCTTTTTGGTTGACTGATCCTCATAGTAGGTATGTTGTATGGAACAAGTTAATTTCTCAGCAGAATTTGGTAGACATGAAATGATGAATGCTCACAATTTGTACACATTTTTACCAAGATTTCTTTGCACATTTGAAAGGTCTACTGGAGCGCAAACAATGGAGCGGTCTTCTCAGTTGAATCCAAATGCCACTCCCTTTGTGCCTCCCCCAAGGTCTTCGTTTGAAGAAAGCTTGAGCGGAAGGAAGGCCTCTGAGAAGCAAGTAGGTGATTCAGAAAAGGATGAGACTGCTGACAAGTCTTCTGAATATGAGCTCCCAGATTCCCTTTCTTTGGACGACTATGGTGAAAGCCTAGGAAAGCTCAACATTTCTGCAGAATCTTCATCAAAAGGAGCTGCTAGTACCGCGCTTGATCCATCGCACTACGAGGAAAATGGTGTTGATAATCATCTTGCTGTGGTAGAATCTCTCTCGAAGATGTTCCCAGATGTGTCTGCTGACTTCATTGTTGAAGCACTGAGGGCCCATGATTTTGATACAGAACTAACTATTGATATGCTTGCTGATCTGGTATGTAAATTCCTATTTCGATCCTCTGTTTATGGCACTTCTAGTTATTATCACCAAGTGTTACATCACTAATGTTGTCCGCACACCTTACAAATACCATGAAACTGCATGCTGACTGCCACTTTTGTTGTTGACATTATTTCTGGCGATATATATTTATTCCAAGGGAAACATTTCTAACAATCTTTCTTGTTGAATTTTCCACTTCAGTGTGAAGGTGATGATTAGGGGAAATCTGCTGAAGTGTCAGGAAAGTAGCAGCAGCAGTATCGCTCTTCATCCACCTTGGCAGAACAATTACTCTTCAGCTACATGTTATTGAAGTCAATCTTCGTGACAATCAAGACTGAATTTCGTGGCGTACATCTTATTGCTGCTGCTCTAAAGAATTCAGTATTGTTTAGGAGCCAAAGCAACAATGACCGTGTTTTGGGTTTTTAGTTCCGGGTGGAACAGCTATTTTTTCAGTATTAGAGTCTGCTTCATGTTGATGGTTTCACCCAGCAGTTTATCGTGTGATCTGTTGCAACCCTTTTGGTGTAGCTGAACCTCCCCCTAGCTAAGCATTTAGGAGTCAGCAATAGTGTGCAATTTTTGCTGCAATGCTGTGCTCTTACCATGTACATTCTGGTCTTGCTGCATTCTGTGTAGGGAGATGAACCATTCCAGATTCTGTTATGATGCATTATTTGAACAGAACAGATATGCGCATGAAGAGATATCTATCTCATTGCAGTTACTGAATGGAGAATTGGAGACCATATGGTCATGGTTATGACTTATGAAACCTCAACGTTATCTTATGGATATCGTATTGCTCTCGCTTTTTATGCAAGTTGTTGTCGTCAATATTTGTATTTCGAGACGATGTATATATATGTGCAGATAACCTCCCTCTCCCGTTTCGATGCAGATAACCTCTCCATCTTCCATATCGATGCAGATAGACGCACGCTGCACATGTAATGTTGTTCCATGAGGATGCGTGACAATGAAGCGGCAACCTTTCTGCTATATTGGAGACCCAGGGGGGTTGGATCGTGCCGATTATGTTATTGTGTACATAGTAGAGCAGATTGTTTAGCAGATTTTTGAGAAAATTAACTTTCACCTATGTATGAGAAATTCGAAACATATTCAGGCCTTATAATCAAGACAAATTTTGCTACAAGACAAACATCTGCTAAACAATATAGGTCAAAGTAATTAAAGTAATTGCGGGTCAAACATATGACAAACATCAGCAAATATCCAATAATGTCAAAAATGGATATTTGCTGATGGACATCGCTCGCATTAAAGTAATAATTTCCGGTTGAATAGGAAAGAGAAATCGCGTTTTTGAAATGTCAAAAATGCCCTTGTGCCCACATGTTAGCTCTTCTATCTCTTTTCTCTCTCTATCCCACATGTCAGCTATGACGGCAGGCAGGGGAGGTCTGGCGGTGGTGGTGGGAGGGCGAGGACGGAGCGGCTGCGATGACGGGAGAGTGACGGCTCCGGCAAGCGGTGCGCCCGGACAGCGGCGCCGGCCACCGACGGCTCCCTTCCCTCCTCACTCGACGCGTTGCAGCCGTCACCGTCCAGCTGTGCCACCGCTCCTTCACACGCAGTTGCCACCGCCGAACCTCGCCTGTTGTCCAGCCTGCGCTGCTGTCCGGGCGCACCGCTGGCTGGCGCCGGCGCTCCTCCGCGCGTCACTGGTCGCATCCGCTTTGCCCTCGCCCTCGGCCACTCCACCCTCGCCGGCCCACCGCCGCCGCCGAACCTCGCCTGCCTACCAACGTCACAGACATGTGGGATAGAGAGAGAAGAGAAGGAGGGGATAGAGAGGTAGGAGAGTTGACATGTGGGCCCAAGGGCATTTTTGACATTTCACACGATTTCTCTCTCCTCTCTAACCGGAAATTATTACTTTAATGTGTGCAGTGACTACCACCAAATATCTAACTTTTGGAAGTGTTTTCCCCCAAAAATCACTTCGTGCAGTGCCCTACAGCTAAAACCACGAAGTCACGGTGTCATGTAGCAAAATTTGCCTATAATCATCATGTATTAATTTTAAATCAAGTAAACAGCAAAAATCCTAAGGTTAGTATTGTCCATCCTCCCAATCTTTCATCAAGTAAAAAACAAAAATCCTAACGGTAGTACTTGTTGGTTGATCTCTGACCACCGAGCCAGAAAGGAGAGCGATGGGCTCAGCCCACCAACGCCCACGCGATCTCTAACGTTGAAGAGCGAGTCCCACGCATCCTCATGCATGTTTCTCTCCTTAACGCTATGATCGGATACACCGTTTTCCTCAAGAAAGAATCACCCCCGATCCCCACAAGATACATATAAAGGGAATCTTAACCCTGTGCACGAGTGACGAGACACGTACGCTAAGCCATTCCCAAAACCTTGAGACTACCGATCCTAAGGCGTGTTGAAGGGGATCGAAGGGCGAATTTCTACAAGAAACTTGTTAATCCATGACGGATTTTCGGTGACGGATTTATAGATCGTCACTGACAAACGTAATCGTGACGATTTTTTGTTTTTCGTCACGGATGAGCCCAGTGGATATTCACGGCCTGCTAACTCGTGACAGTTTTATCAAGACTGTCACAATGTATGATTTTAAATTCGTCATACTCTAGTTAGCCCAAAGCAATAAAAAATAAAACATATTTAGCGCAAAGAAAAATAAAAAATGTGATTGCAAGAAGAATCAAACGCAAAATACGGTTTGTTAAATTTGAACAAAATAATTTTATTAATTTGTTACATGTATATGATGCATAATATGGCAAACTAAAAAAATATGGTGCGCATGGGTAAAAATCTGCAGCATGTGGGATTTGAACCCACAACTTAGCTAGAAGGTAGGAATGTGTCTTACCCTTTGAACCACTTGTTCTAGATGTCCCAATGTGCACTTAAATATTTTTATTTGTCCCAATGTCACTCGAGTTGGCCCAGCAACTCAGAGTTGGCGTTTCAAAGAAGGAAAAAATAACTCATAACGTGCGCCCAACGAGAATAGAACCCATGACCTCTAGTTGAAGATAACCCATCCTACCACTGCGCTAGTTGCCTGGTGTGTTCTAATAGGATTCTATAATGTATTATAGTTGAAGAAAACGTCATATATTTATATATAGCATTACTAGAAAAATATATTAAAGATTAAAGCAATTTAATCAAATGAATTAACGAGGAAACTAAAATTTTTCTTTAAAAATCATTGCTGGAATTTTTTTTTAATATTCTACGTGGTCTAAATTATTTTCTGAAATTTTCCATAAATTTTCAGAGCGCAATAACTAATTTTAATATCACAAAGTTCATTTAACCTATTAAAATAAATAAAAAAACAAATTAAAATTCATCTCTCTATACTTGGGCCTTTTTCGGCCCAAGTATTACTCTCTCCCTCCCTCAGCCCGCAGCCTCCCTCTCCCTCCTCCTCCCTCTTCGGGCCGCCAGCCCTTTTTGCTCCTCCCTTGCCGAGAAGTCCATTTTACATCCCTCCTCTCAACTCAAATAATTTTTCGGGAATAAATGATTTCAAATGAAAAAATTGTCAACAACAAAATTGTATAACTTGTCAAAATCGAAAACTTTTGTTTTGGTCATTTTGCTATATGACTTTGTTTCAATAATTTAAATTTGAATTTCAAATTAAATTTCAAATTATGATAACTTCAACCAATATTTTTAAATAGTAAATGATTTCAACTAAAAAAGTCATCAACAAAAAAGTTGTATAACTCATTAATATCTATAACTTTTATTTTGGTCATTCCTTCATCCGACAAAGTGATAGTAACATTGTTTACAAAATATACACATCTCTCTTATAATTTATGAAACCATATTGGAGATATGTAAAATTTATGAACAATGTTAAAATTACTTTGTCGGATGAATAAATGACCAAAATAAAATTTGTAGATCTAGATGAATTATACAACTTTATTGTTGATGAGTTTTTCAGCTGAAGCCGTTCACTAATAAAAAATTCTATTTGAAGTTCTCAAACTTTGAACTTCAAATTTCAAATTGTTCAAATAGAGTCAGATGAAGAAATGACCAAAATAAAAACTTTACATCTTGATGAGTTCTACATCTTTGGTTTTGGTGACTTTTCTATTTAAAATCATTTATTAACCCCAATTTTTATTCGAAGTTGTCAAATTCTGAAAATTCAAAATTGAAATTGTTCAAATGAACTTATTTGTAGAAAGGACCAATACAATAGTTGTAGATTTCGATGAGTTCTACAATTTTGTTATTTATGATTTTTTCATTTGAAATACAAAAATCAGTCTAAAATTAAATTTAAAGTTCTCATAAATTAAAATTAAAAATTACCATAAGATCTTTAGTTTTTTTTTGCCAAAAATAAACATACTGCAAGGGCCAAAATTTTCCGGCCAGGTTTGCATCGCGGTGCCACTGCGCGCGGTCAAGCCAAAATTGACGTGAAATGTCCAAATAGTGTCAGAAGCTAGTACATGCACCAAGGCTATTCTTGTAAAATCGCATCCGTTGTTGCTTCATACCCATGTTCCCCAACCCTAGCCGATCCAAAATCAAACGAAGCAATCCCCAACCCTAGCCGCCGCCAAGTCCCCATCTGAATCCGCAACCTCTTCCTCCTCAACCTCCGGCGGAGATGGTTTGGCGGCGAGTACGCCCTGTTCGACGCGGAGGTATGCCTCCTTCTCCCGCCGCCAGCGGTATCGATGGTGGAGGTGGCGCCGTCGAGGCTGCGAGCGAGGAAGGAGGAGGTGGGGAAGAGTAGTTCATAGATCGGATCCGGCACTGACAGGCAGATGTAGAGGAGGAGGCGAGGGTAGCCATGCGTGGCGTACGTGGACCACTCCTTCTCCATCTCCGATGAGGACGACCTTGTCGGCGGCGCCGTGGGCGGGCCCGGGGCACGTCCATCATGGAGATCGCCTTCGCGGCCGCTCTCCTCGTGTTCGGGGTGCTCGGCGCCATCGGGGGCGCATCCTCATGGCCGCCAACCGCTTCGGCAGCGACCGCGAGAGATATCCTCCGGCAGCAGCAGCAGTGAGGAGGGCTCGACGGTGTGCGGCGGTGAGGAGGAGGTGAGCGGCGGTGGTGTGGTGCACCGGCGCTAGGCGGCGAGGAGGCGAGCGATGGCGGCAGATCCATCCCACGGTACCCCCATCCTCCTCCCCCTTCTTTCTCTTATTTCAAATAGATTGAATTAGTGCAAATAGAAGCACGTCCTGCCTGCCTCCCATCCGTCCTGGCCGTCGTCATCCACTTCCTCGTCATAGTTGCAGCGGTCTTCCCGTCTTTACAGTTCCATCCCAGACGTGTATCTACTACTGAATTTGTTTTTTTTTTTTTACTTTCAGATTGAAATCAGTTCTATGAATGCACTGAAGTTTTCAATTTGACAACATGGTCGATGCACTTCATTATATCTGAAATGAGTTAGGAACTTGCTATCAACCCCTTGTTTATGGCTGTAAATTTGCAAAAGATAATAATTTTGGCTAGTAAGTACAAGTATTTGGTGATGTATATCCTTGCTCATTTTCTTAATCTGCAAATAAACCAAGTAGATTTGTTTGATGTATATACTTGATAACTTTCTTAAGCTGCAAAAGGAGCCAAACTAGCAGTGTCGTTTTATGGCTGTAAATGCCATTTTTGGTTTTGCTTCCATGATGAGCAGGTCTAGTCAGTAGAATTTGTCTGTGTATATCTCTAACCACTTTAGTTGTTTGTGAATCTATCTATAGTTTGGTGGATGGGAATTATCTGCTTGGCCGTGAATGCCAAGTTGTTCATTCAAATAGCATTCTGAACTCAGAACAACTCTGAACTAGTTGTGCACTGCCTTGATTTTTAGTTTCTTGTACAGAGGTTTTTGTCAGTACGTGATATGTAGAGCTATTCCTGAAGTAAGATGTTTAAAGATTAATTGTACATAACACAAATCTTTGATAGTTCTGTTTTGTTGCGTTTCTTTGCTTCAGAAACTGTGGATTTCTTGCTCTGTCCTGCAAAAGGACCACATTTATTTTCTCCTTCAATCTATAGCATCAGTTGCTTGCTTGCTTGGCCAATGAAATGAGGTAGATGGGGACATTGAGTTTTGTTAGTGCAATGTATTATGGGACATAAGATTGGTGTTGCAAAGTAGCCCTATCATTCAAAAACTAATATCGTATCGGTAGATTGTTTCTTCTTGTTTCTCTAGAGCATAAAAAAATAATCTAACACATGGTATTGTACTATCAGGTTGCTGGGCTCAAACATATGCGACTTTGATGGAGTGGCCAAAATGCTTTGGTGGCTGTTGGGTATTGTCATGTGCTTTTGAACAGGTTTTAATTATGTTGTATGAGATATGCTAAAAAATTATGTTGTATGAGATGTGAAGGTTGTAATGTGTTTTTAGAATATTTATGTGCTGATCAATAACTATTTTGTTACTGATGATGAGAGAATGTTAATTGATCGGTAATTAATTTTGCTAAAATTATGGACGAAATATTTGTATTTTGCTAAATTTAGCAGCAACTGAATTTTAGTTGGGCTAAAATCTAGCTGTAGCCCAATTTGAACTGGGCTGAATGATGACTAAAAGGCCGAAAAAACACTCCAAAAAAAAACCGGCCCAAAACAAAAAAAAATCATCAGGTCATAAATGGGCCGAAAGCTCCTTGGAAAAAGAATTGGGCCACAAAACACGTGGGCTAAGTCCTACATGGCATCGATGACACATCAGCGTCCACCTTGGCGAACACATGGCACATACGTGGTGATTCAAATCCTTGACGGAAAAATATCCTATGTGGCAGCTAATCTGTGACAGAAAAATATCCTACGTGGCAGCTATCCATGACGGTTATTTTTCATCACAGGAAATGGGCTTGGTTGGACTAACTAGACCATGGTCTCCATCATGACGGTTTAAAACCATCACCGATTCTGTTAATCTGTGATGGTTTTCGACAAACCGTCACGCAGATCAATCCATGATGCTCAATCCGTGATGATTTCTGAAACCATCACAGATGTTGTTTGGTGACGGTTTTTTAGTGATATGTGACAGAAATTTTTCATCACGGATTAATAGGATTCTTGTAGTGTTCCATCGCCATTGCCACACCGCAGCGGTCCTGTCACTACTGCCGCACGGTGATCCTATCACCGGTGTCCTACTATCACAACGCCGAATGGCTTCTCCCAATACCGGTCAGTACACCAAATTTCTCGTAAGCTTAATGAGGTGATCAAGCATAGCCTAAGTTCATGATTTTAAGAATTAACTCCAATATTCTGGTATAAGAGCCTTCTTAGGACTATGCATGTTCCATCACTCCAGTGATTGAAGCCAAAGGTTGCATCAAGTTTTCCCTAAGTGTCAGCTTCTTAAAGTTTTAAGGTTTATGTTCAGTGTATGTTTTTTTGTTCATGTTGAAATTAAGTCAAATTTATTATTCATGTTCTGTTGATCACAATTAGAGCTAAGTTTTAGTGTATTAATTAGATTGCTATTACTAATCAAGTTCAACTTGGGTAGCAATTAGAAGGAGCCAAGGAGGGGACTCAGATCATTCAATTCCCTAAATCATGACGAATTCCCAAATTAAGTGCAACCCAACCGGTAAATCCCAACTCAATCAGAAACCCCAAGGATTTGGGAGTAAGAAGACTCACGGTTTGGGCTCAGGTTGCCAGAGTTCGCCATATGCGGCATGAGTCCGTCGTGCGCGATCGTTCCGAGTTCTCCATCGTCTTCATGTGAATGGCACACGACTTCACTGCCGCTATGCATCCCCTAAGCCGTCGCCTCGGACCGGCCTCATGCCCGCATCAGTCCTCCGCTTGAGGTCGAGGCTTGTCTCGGCGTGGTCTTGCACCGCGCTGGAGAGGAGAACTGAAGCTGGAAGAAGGGATTACGCGCGGTATTAGTCCGCCACACACCATGAGTCCATGACCTGCCTTCACACTATGTCACCAGCCTTAGCTCGCATGGGCACTTATTACGGCCACGGCAACCCACTGGACCCCGCCAGAGACGTGCTCAGCATCAACCTCTCTGCGCACGGGCGTCTCAACGTCACCACTCCGCCGGCATCCCTGCCGCTGCGTGCGCTCCTTGCGTCGGTGAAATCAGGGAGAGAGAGGGTAATGGTTAGGGTTAGGGTTTTGGAAACCGGTGGTGCTTTTGTTCCGGGTACGTTTGAGCTGAGTCGTCTGATCGGAATTGGACGGTCGACGCTGCACCTACACCGCATCAACCAGCCCTGGGTGATCATGTCCATCGATTAGATCCAACCGAGCCTGCTCATGGGCCTGTGGGCAAGCTAGGCCACACATGTGCGATCTTGATCTCCCTCATGGGCTGTACGGGCCTCCGCGCACGATAATGGGTCGGCCGGATGCAATTTTGGGCTATGGCCAGCACTTGGGCCAAATTAGTTTATTCTTATATTTTAGCCCGAATCAATGTTATTCTAATTACATGAATGCATTTTTAATCAGCTTAAGCCATAATTTGATGCCATAAAATTGCATTATAAGTATCCTTATGCAAATAAGATCATGTCTAGCTAAATGGAACCAACTAGAAATTTGGCTAGAATATTTAATTTATTGCCTTTATTGTTTCAACCTGTTACACCCTAAAAATTCCAAATATATAAATTGTTGTCTAAATTGGAATTATTAGAATTTATTTTAAAAGCCTAGAAGAGAAGATCTAGTTTTAATTAATAAATTCCAATATAAAATGGGGTCAGATAAAATTTCATTAAATACTTTGCTTAATTCTATAATTTCTAGATTTTTCTGGGATTTATTTGAGCTAGGGAAGTATTTTTAATAAATGGAATTGCATTTAATGAATAATTTAAATTGAAAAAGGTTTTTAAAATCCTCTTTTGGCTTTGGGCCGAAAGTCGGCCCAAAACCTTCTCTCTCTCCACGGCCCAAGCTGGCCCAGTCCGCCCGCAGCAGCCGCGTGCGCGCGCCCTCGGACGCTGACAGGTGGGGCCCGCCTGTCAGGTCGTCGTCTACCTCCGGCCGCCCGCCGCTCGAGCCCTAGCGTCGCGCCGCCGCCATCTCCTTCCAAATCCGCCCGCCCCTTTCCGTTTTCAATGAAATTAATAGAGGGGAAATGATCCCCGGGATCCCCTCTATCTTTTCTCTTATGGAATCGTTGGCTAATTTCGTTTGGAAATCCGTGGATTCGATTTCGAATCGGATTCGTCTCTCTCCCCGAACCCTAGACCTTCCTTCGCCGTCACCGGTTGCCGTGGGCCTCCGACGCCGCCTCCTAGCCCCTATAAAAGGACCCCCGGTGTCTCCGCTACCCACCGCCACCCTCGCCTTCGCCTCTCGTCGCCCGTAGAGCCCTAGCCCCGTGCAGCCTAGCGTCGCCGTCGTCGCCGTCGCTCCAGCCGTGCGCCGCCGTCGCTTCGGTCGTCGCCGTCGCTCGGGGAGGTCACCATCGTGGTCGCCAAGTCGTCGCAGTCCTCGTCCGTCCCTCCGCCGTCGCTGTCGACCGCCGGAACACCGTCGCCGTCGTCAAGCCGAAGAGCGCCGCCGCTTCTTCCTCGTCGCCGACGTCATTCGGTCACCGTCCGTCGCCGTTTAGGTCATCGGTGAGTTCGCCACGTCGCCCGCATCATTTTGGTGCTCTCCGTTCGCGCCGCCGCGCCGTCGTTCGCCGGCGGGCATGCGTGCCCGAGTCGTCGCCGGTGATGACGTCACCGCTGACGTCATCGTCGTCGTTCCCCGTGGCCCGGTCATGGACCGATGGATCTTGGCCGTCCATTTTGGATGAATCGATCTCGGCCGTTCGTTTCCGTGAGCCGCCGCCGTGCACCCGGTTCACCGCGAACCCTAGCCGCTGACGCAATAAACCCCTTTTTCCTTTTCAAAAATAATTCATTATTGCGTCATAATTCAATTAAAATCTAAATAAATGATTTAATCTGATTTAATCTTTGAAAATTCATAACTAATTCATCTTAGCTCGGATTTAGTTGGTTCAAGTCTCTAAATTTTTCTAAAATTGAGATCTACATGTTAAAAATATCCACATATACTGTTCATGCTTGTTTATGTGCTGTTTGGTGATTTTGCTCCTTTCTGTTTAGATTCCGACGTTTCCGGAGAGTCCGTTTTCGCAGGAGAAGAATTTGAAGTGTTCCAAGGCCAGCAAGGCAAGTCACACAGATCCCAAACAATCCTTTGAGCATGTTGATCCTATATTTAAATTCTCTATTTATTTCAACTGTGCATTTATTTTCGAATGTCACCGAGTGGTGTGGACCTGTTCCTTTGTTATGACCACTTTGCATTGCTTACTCTATTCTTTGATACCTTGGGTGATAATTTGACTAGTTTAGCTTTATATATTGGTTCAGCTAGATGTTAGACATAATTGCTTAGCCATGCTTAGAAACATTAGCACACTATTGGGATAACTTATGATTCACTATTATTTAATGATGGCTTAATGATAGTTCACGATGGTCAATCGTGATTGGTTAATTAATTAAATTGCCAACTAAAACTTGATAATGGTGGGTTGTGAGCACATGGTTTTGATGGTCGTGCTCATGACAATTAAGGACCGGTTCACGAGTTTCGGTTGTGAAACATTAACCGTGCCAACCACAAGCCAGCGTGGGCAATGGCTTTACCTTTTGTATAACATGGTTCATTGCGGAGCACCAGACTGAGAAGTGGCGGAGATAAGCCCACGGGGGTCGCTGGGGAGTCCATGCCTTGTTTATAAAGGGGTGATTATGATCTAGGAACGGTGCACTGTGGTGGATTGTGTTGTGCGAGGGGTACTGTCACAGCTCCTTTCCAAGGTACCGTGGTGGTATTGAGGCACATGGTGACATGTTGTGGGGCTGTGTCTTGTGGGTACAGTGGTACACCTCTGGCCAGAGTAAAACTATTCGAATAGCCGTGCCCGCGGTTATGGGCGGGTCTAACAATGTCTTTCGTGATTAGTCTCACATTTCTCATCATAATAAAAGATGCTATAACTGGTAATAATTTGATTAGCTCCTGGTTTGGAATGGTTAATTCCTGGTTTGGAGATAGAACTGTGCAGCCAGGATGGTTGTTCAGAATGGTTGGGCCTATGCAACAGGGTATGTTGTATAGCGTTGGATTAATATTGTTTAATTATTACTTAACTATTTTATTAAATTCTGAAATGTTTATTAAATGCTGTTTATGCAAATGAAACCCTACTATGCCATCCTTTGTTATCCTGTGCACTTGCATATTTGCTTCGTGGCTTGCTGAGTATGTCATATACTCACCTTGCAATCATTCATCAAAGGAGGAGTTCTACAGTGATGCTGATGGTGTGGAGGATTAGGTGTAGCCCTGGTCAAGCTGCCTGTGGAGTGGAGTCATCTGCGCCGTTTATCTTATTTTTTC